AAAGTGGTCCGTCGTTTATTTGAGCGAATCCACGAGTTTGGATTGCGCGTCAAAATGGAGAAATGCGCTTTTGGCAAGGCTTCGGTGAAGTATCTTGGTTTCATATTGGATTCACAAGGCCTAAGACCAGGGTTGGTCATTTTTGACCCGGGTCGGACCCGGACCTTGGACCAGACCCACGGACCCGCAGAAATTGCATGGGTCCGGGTCCGGTCCGGTCCGGGTCCAGGTCCGGTCGGGTCCGGAAGTTGCGTATTTGCATTTATTTGAGATAGAGATTTAGGATTCTAATTTTCCTCGGAAAAAGACAACGGCATTAATTATAATGGTTTATCCGGTATGATTCAGGTATATAGGAGTCGAGACCAGAACATCAAATCACATCGGATGGAGCCCCCATCCGAAGTTAGCAGACGTGAGAAATGTCGTACAATATCGTGGAATTGATCCAGAAATCGGCATGCAAATGACCCGGACCCACGGACCCGGACCCGGACCCGGACCCGGACCCATGCAAATTTGATCGGGTCCGGACCCGACCCGACCCCCGGGTCCGGACCGGGTCCGGGTCCGGGTCAAAAAAGACCAACCCTGCCTAAGACCGGATGCCCAGCGTACGGCTGCGATAGCAAACATGCCACAACCGGCATGTCTCAAGGAAGTTGAAAGCTTCTTGGGCATGGTCTCTTTCTACCAGTCATTTATTCCTCGTATGCGGCAAATGCGCGCCCCGCTTGACGAGTTGAAAAGGAAAGACACGAAGTTTGTCTGGCACGAGGGCTGCGAAAAAGCTTTCCAGTCGCTCACGGATATTGTAATATATGATCTCTTGCTTTGCCACTATGACGCCAAGTTGCCAATCGTCGTCGCCGCTGATGCAAGCGAGCAGGGACTTGGGGCGGTCATTACGCACAAGTTTGCGGATGGTTCGGAGAAAGCCATTTCACATGCCAGCAGAGCATTGATCGTGGCAGAGAAGAATTACAGCCAGATCGAAAAAGAAGGTTTAGCCCTCATTTTCGCGATTCGGCGCTTCCATCGCTACATCTATGGAAGGCGTTTCGTACTATTGACGGATCACAAACCTCTTTTACCCATCTACGGGCCGAAAAAAGGCATTCCGCAGCACACCGCAAATCGATTGCAACGGTGGTGCTTGTTTTTGAACAACTACGACTTTACGATTGAATATCGTAATACACCCAAGTTCGGTCAAGCGGATGCACTTTCCCGTCTGATTCCGCCGAGAACTGAGCCCGATGAAGACATCGTTATTTCGCAGATAGAAATCGATGTTGCGGCAGTTTTCGAGGAAAAATTGAGCCAAGTCCCAATTTCGCAAAAAGAAATAGCAATTCAAACGGAGCAGGACCACACACTTGGTGCTGTGATTGAATATATCAAAGTTGGAACTTTTCCAGACTGTTTGCCAGGCTCGTCTCTGTACGCCTTCAAAATTCTAGTTCCCAACCTGTCAATACATCCAGGTTGTCTGTTCTTGAAAGAACGAATTGTCGGCTCTATACCGATAGGGGGGATCACGGTCGATATAGGGGACCAATGCCGGTATAGGGGATCACCGTCGATAAAGGGGATCAATGCCGGTATAGGGGATCAGTGCCGGTATAGGGGATCATTGCCGGTATAGGGGATCATTGCCGGTATAGGGGATCAGTGCCGGTATAGGGGATCATTGCCGGTATAGGGGATCAGTGCCGGTATAGGGGATCAAAAAAATGGCCAAATTTCCGAATCGTCGATATAGGGGATCACCATTTTTTTTCGAATCGTCGATATAGGGGATCAGGGGCAGGAGAAGCATTTTTCATGGTTGATCAAATGCCACGTGCATTTCCGGTAACTACCCGATGACTTCTGGAATTACATGTTTACAAGGTGGTGCTAATGCAACCTAACATCAGTAAGGGTACGAGACGCGCTTAAAGGGATAGGGGCGGCATGAGTGAATCGATTTCGCGCGGGAAAGAAAATGTCTCTGCACCTCTGCCCTGGGCGCCCTCTCTCGTCGCTGCATCTGTTGAACCCCACTCCCCAAGGGGGGTTCGACAGATGCCGTCCTCATCTCTTTAAGCCACTTGGTTTTTGACTTAAACCTGGATTTAACTCAGTTTTTTTACCATCTTTCGCGGAAGCTTCGACTTTAATTTAAGCCCAAGATAAGCTTGTCTTGACTTGCCCAAGGAGTCCAAAAGGGGCTGCTAGACATGGCGTAGCCTAGAGATAGGCCTAACTGGGCTCAAGCGATTAAGCTTATGAGTGTAGTTTAATTTGAAAGCTGTTAAGCTCCTTAGCTTATGCTCACGTTTCCAGTGGCTTAGCGTTTGCAAAAGGCGTCTTTGGAGCGTCTTGTAGTCAGAATCCGGACCGACCTCGCCCAAGTGCATTAGCTCCGCCTTACAAACATGTAACTCCAGAAGTCATCGGGTAGTTACCGGAAATGCACGTGGCATTTGATAAACCATGAAAAATGCTTCTCCTGCCCCTATCCCTTATATCGACAATTCGAAAAAATCGTGATCCCCTATACCGGCATTGGTCCCCTATATCGACCGTGATCCCCCCTATCGGTATAGAGCCGAATTGTTGTCTCGAAAAGACTTCAATTGCGTGTCCTGTAAAAGCTCGATGAAGGACATCCTGGTCAGACCAGAATGAAATTGCTCGCGAAACAGTATGTTTACTGGATTGACATGGATACAGACATCGACCGCATCGTGAAAGAATGCGATGGCTGCCAAAAAGCGCAGAAGATGCCTGTGAAAAGTGAATTGACCCCGTGGCCTATACCCAATCGTCCAATTGAGCGCGTGCACATTGACTACGCCGGCCTCATTGATGGTCGAATGTACCTGGTATTTGTTGATGCCTACTCTCGCTGGCCAGAGATCCACAATTGTAAGGTCACAACCAGTCGTACGACGATTGCCCATTTGAGAGATATTTTCTCTAGGTACTTTCTCTAGCCCATTTAGGCTCTACGAAGTATAGTGTACTGTATTCAATAAAAATTAATTTGAAAATCATTCATTTCACCATCATTTTCCGCCTGTTTCGCAGTTTCTGCACCTGAGGTGCGCGTGAACATAGCCCCCCTTCACGCTCATGTCAAGGCATGCCTATGTGGCATATTGATAGTGCGCTTGCTTCATAAGTTTTTATTTTTTTTTGTCGGTGGGTTCGAATCTTAGCTGGTGAAAAACTTTTGCTTTTTGCTCTTTGACGCCAAATATGATTTAAATAGCATTTAAAACCAAAAAGCAAAACCGATAATCAAAAAAAGTTGCGAACCTGAGCAAAAATTTGTAAAGTTTGAAAGACGCCTACACTATCCAATAGGCCACCATCCTATGCGGATGCTCGTTTGCGTTGCGGCCTATGTCCCGGGCCTGATCCCGTCGTGGCAGCGTGGCACCACGGAATTTTTTCATTAAAATTCATTTTTATTGAATACAGTACACGGTTAGCAGATTTGGAAAACGACATCTTGCTCAGAATTTTTTCTGTATCGAACTAGCTAGGTCTCGTTCAAAAACTCCAATATCACATAAAAACGACTCCTTGTGAGCGTGGAGCAAACATCTACGTACGCCCCCATCCCTCACTCACACCCTCAATCGAATGGTTTGGCTGAACGCTTCGTTGACACATTCAAGCGAGCTTTGAGCAAAGCTCCCGGATCACTCAACGCCGAAACACTGCAAATCTTTTTGCGCAGTTACCGGTCCACACCGTGCCCTTCTTCGCCGAAACAGCTATCTCCAGCTGAAATGTTTATCGGGAGAAAGCTTGTTACTCCTCTTGTGCGGTTGGCTCTATCCAAGAGCAACGACAAGGCCTGTCTGAAAGTCGCTCTTCAAAAAGAGGGGAAGACGACGATGGTTGAGCAATTTAACCGGAGACATGGTGCCCGAAAACGATCGTTTGAAATCGATGCCAATGTCTGGGTGCGCGATTATCGCAAGCCAAACAAACCAGCTTGGATCGAAGGTCGTATTTCCAAAGTACTTGGACGTTCCATGTATGAGGTTACTAACACCTCTGGAGACATTTGGCGCAGGCATGCCAATCAACTGAGAAATCGCTACGTTCGCGATTTGCTCGAGGATATTATAGATGAGTTCCATCTTCCTAGAATTCCGGATGTCAATGTGCAGGGTCACAACCCACCTCTTGACCAGACGATTGTGCCACCCGGAGACAACAAGGATGCCGCCAATAATGCCACTCCCCATTCCGTACCCAGGTCGCCCATTCCTAATGTTCATCATCACCCCGCTCAATCGCGTAACACGACTCCCGCGAAGTCGTCGCCAAGGCCAACAAGATCGGCAACCCCTCGAAACGGACCACCGCGTGAGAAAGGCCATGAGCAAGCAGAGGCGTCGTTTGAACGACCCGCTCCACGACTAGATGGAGAACTGCCCGCTAACGAACAGCAAGCCGCTCAAGCTCGTCCCATCAAGCAGAAGAAGCTCGACGAGCTCGGCCCCATCATCCAAGGAAAAGGTCACCGCCGTCCGCCCACTCGTTACGAAGACTGATGTGCCGTCAAATATGAAGTGCCCCGTTCCGCGTCTACACGACCACTACCGTCAAGCACTTCATCAGAAGGGAGATGTTGGAGGAACCGCCAGAAACAAGTGAACCCATTACGCTACCCATTTTCCGCGACACTCCTCTGGCCCCTGTTCCTGTGTGCGCCCCCTACCCCTTTGCCGACCGCCCCTCTTCGAATTCTTTTTCAGTCTTCTTCCATTCCCCGCAACTCCGTGTTGTCTGTAATTCTTTTAGAGTCACACATATTTTTATCCTGAAATAAACTCTCTTGTTCTCTCAACCTTGTTCAGGCACTCAAGGGATCAAACGGTCCGATCGCAAAGCGTCCCTTTCGATCGCGACCAGCATTTGACAAGACCTCACGCACAACCACGCTCCACAACAAACAACGAATGTTTTTTAAAATTAATTTACATTTTTAGAGCCCTACTTTGCTGGCTCTACCGTCCAGGGCCTACGATGTCTTGATCTCGGACATCGATCAAGGCGAATTAATAAATGTAGGGCCTATTTTTAAGCTTGTACCTTTCTATGTCTCAGATTGGGGAGCAATACCAGCCGACGAATCTATCCAGTGCCGTCTTCCCCACAATTCCTTTTCCCGTGTTGGGAAGAGTACATGGCAAAAACCAACGGCTCATGGTGCCGCTTGTTTGCCAGCACGCTGGTAAGTACAGTGATTTAACTACGTTATCCTACTATATATAAAAAAGTAGTGTCTGTGTGTGTGTCTGTGGACACTTTGCATAAATGACTCGAAAAAAACCGGGTTACCAAGATATCGGGACGGGGTGAGGGTTTTCGGGCCCGGTCGAAAGGTATTTAGGGGTATTCGAGGGCGTAGATTACTGCACGCTTATCAGATTTTTAAGAAAACCACGATTTATACCTTATTTTAGTGTTTTAAAAACATATGGAAATGCCCTCATTTGCATACGAGGCTCTAGGAGGCTCATTTTGGATTTTGTCATGCTCTCAGCCGGTCGCTTTTGTGATTATTTGGGTAGAGAGGTGGGCGATAATTCACTAGAATTATACAAATTGCCCAAATTCTCAAGATCCCCGCGCAAAAGGCCAGGGGTGAAAAGCCGCGTAGCGGCTTTTCAACCCTGGTTATAATTAAACTTCTAGGTGGGAAAAAATCACCGAGTCTAAATGTATGGTTCATCGTGGATACAGGTGCACCGTACACCTATCTGACCGTACAAACGATCGAAAAGCTGGTCGGACAGGGCTTCACCAACCACACACATAACATAATGATTCAAGTTCGTTTTTGTTTTGTTTGCCGTTCAAAGGGATAGCGCAGGCAGCAATTGTGTTACGTGGATTCTTGGAACTTTGGCAGTTTCAGCTAAAGGCATGCATTTGGCAGGCACAATAGGCACCGCGCAGCCTATCATTAGTGTGCTGATATGCTAGTAATTTGTTTGGCGCGCAATCCAACTGCATCTAGAAAGTTCCAGGATTCCACATAACATATAGATTGCTGCTTGCGCTATCCTTTTAATGAGTAATTTCAACTTTTCAGGACCAAAGGACCTATGTGGAGTGTGAGATTTCGAGGGGGCACTTTACAGATGTCAATGTTCTGGGCATTGATGCGATTCAAGAGCTAGAGATCTCAATAATTTTCCAATGGAAAGTGTCTAAAAAGATGTTCTATCTTGTGAGACTCTGAGCTTGTGAGTTGTCCGTCTTTATCGCTCTTCCCCCCCCCCCCCTTCTCTCTCCTCACTTTTCTATCTTATGATGATGTTGACCGGTCGTTTCTCTCGCTCTCTCTTGTGTAGCTCCACTTTTTATTCTTCAACAGCATTGTGATCCCCCCCCTTTATACACCTCAATTTTGTTTTTATAAATTATTGATTTAGAGAAAATAGTTGTTTCCTTGGAAAGAACACAAAATTTTTTTGGTTTGAGAAAAACCAGCCGATTACAGCCGCTTCGCGACTGTAATCGGCTGGAATTCGGGCTACCCTCCATATTCTACACCACCACATTTCATCCCTACCTTACCCTGATGCCTTCATGGCAATACCTACACTGATGGCTTCAGATAGTTAAAAACCATTTAGAAACGCATCCGCTATTTATAAAAAAATTTAGGCTTATGTCGAAAAAATTGGTCCCCCCCCCGGAAATCCCCCCCCCCCGGAAGTCCTAAAGAACCGGAATGAATTCTTTTTTCAAGTTGTTGATGAACATCGTCAAACGTCTTTTGACTAGTGATGGCGTTGTTCAAATCAAATCTTGAGTCAAATCTGAGAGCTCAAATATGAATATTTGAAGGCAAAAATTTCAAATTCAAATCGGCGGATTTGATTTGAAATCCCGTGGACGAGTTCAAATCAAATCTCGAGGATTTGATTAAACTTTCGGTCCTTAATCAAATCTTATGGAGATGCCGGCATGCAAAACATAACAAAATATCTATGGCCGAGCTGCCGCGAACCGGAAATGACCTTGATTATGCATGCCATCATAAAATTAGCATCCGCGTAATCGGCTATTGATTTTTTCGACTCCTTTCAAATCCTCAAACCTCGAAAGTCCAAAGCAAATCGATTTGATTTGAAGTGCTGAAACCTTATTCAAATCAAACCGGCAGATTTGAGATTTGAATGATACCATCACTACTTTTGACTAGTTGGATATACTGATTTTTTGTCAATTCCGTTTTCTCTCGGTCCACAGCCGTATTCTGGTCCTCAGCCATATTCGGGTATCCGGTCAGCAAATCGAAAGAATTGCCGAAACGGAGGTTTGTGGTCGAGTCGTGGGCTCTCTTGTGTGTTCCGGGGTCACCCATTGGGATTGCCCTTCCATCGGTTGTATTGAATGCGTCCGACCCCGTAGGGTAGATTTGTTCGTTTGTTGAACGGTACTGGTCGCTCCCTTGCGGGAGGGCACTACCAAAATCGCGGTACTGGCCACTCCCTTGCGGGAGAGCACTGCCAAAAACACGGTACTGGCCAACTCCTTGCGGAGAGGCACTGCCAAGAAAGTCGGGAACAGGGACGGGGACAGGGACGGATTGGGACATTAAGGGAAGGCTATGGACGGGCAGATCACGACTCTGGTGCTGCATCACGTCAGAAACACGGATCGAACCGTTTGGGGACTGCAACTGGGGACAGTAGCGAAAAGAATGCGTGCACACTGACTCTGGTGTTGCTCGTCGCCAAAATGAACGGGGGTGGGGGGGTAAGGGCCAGTGATCCGCTCGGGGCACCACTTTGTCACGACAATGACAAGAGTTTGCGCCTCGATAGCCTGGGAGAGCAAACGACTGGGACAGGGAGACACAATTTATTCAAGGGTCCCGGTGGGGTACCTTTTATGAATACACGACAAAAACGAGGCAACGGGAATGAGGTGAAGGCGAATATGAAGGCGTAGAAGACGGCCGGGAATCAGACGAAGCTTCGCGGTAGCGAACAGCTGGCTGGGGGTTGCTTATACTTCCGAAAATCCGATTCCCGAAAATTGGTTTCCCGAAACTCGGAGCCCCGAAAATCGGAGTCCCGAAAAACAAAAAGCAAAACGAATTACATCTACAAGTACCGAACTTGTAAAAGATGGAAAAATAAATTTTGGAAGACAACCGCGTTAGCCACTGCGCCAGGTCTGTGGTGAGGGGGCCGCGCTGGAGGCGATTTCCGATGAGAATCCCGAAAATCTGTTTCCCGAAAATCTGATTCCCGAAAATCTGAATCCCGAAAAATCTGAATCCCGAAAATCTGATTCCCGAAAATCCAATTCCCGAAAAATCTCTATCCCGAAAAATCCGTTTTCCGAAAATCCGATTCCCGAAAATCTGAATCCCGAAAAATCCGAGCCCCAGAATCCAAACCTGGAAAGACCGCGCTCTGAAAAGCCAAATTGGAAGAAAACGAAGCTAAAAATTAACTTTATTGAATTCACCGTCTTGGAAGTCGCCCAGGAACTTTAGAAAGGGTTCTGGTACAATTCAAATAGGCGGGGGGTGAGGATTTCGGCGGGGGGGGGGGGAGGTGGGCCTATAGGCAGAGGGGTGCCTAGAGAGCAGGGCGGGCGCTGAGACGCAGATTGCCCCCCGCCTCGTTGAATTGTACCAGGGTTTTTTTTCAGTTCACTAACCGCAGATTCTTCAGATTCAGATTTTTCGGGAAACAGATTTTCGGGAAACGAATTTTTCAGGATTCAGATTTTTCGGGAACCGGGTTTTTGGGATTCAGATTTTCGGGATTCAGATTTTTCGGGATTCGGATTTTTCGGGAATTCTATTTTCGGGAATCGGATTTTCAGGAAACGGATTTTCGGGAATCAGATTTTCGGAAGTATAAGCGAAGCCCGCTGGAGGCCTCTTCCCCTAGAGCTGGCAGTTCTCGTTTTGATGCGGCGAACCGACAGTTGGCCAAAATTCCATTTAAAGTTTTTTAATTTTGTAAAATCAGGGAACGGCGTTTTGCAAAAATAAACACCGGGAGTGTGTTCAGCATTCAATTCTCTATCGAATGAGCTAGGTCGCGAAGGGATTTGCCAATGACACTCAAAAACCACTCCTTGTTAGCTCGGGCTCCAGCCCCGGATAATGCGAAAGAACCGTTCTTCGCATTCGACTGCCAACTCGCGTTCACGGCCTGATTGCTGAAGTAGTATCACTATTCCTAGTACATTTTTTACTAGTTAATTATGGGGCAATTCATATAAGTAGTCCGGTAGTCCGGTAGTCCGGTAGTCCGGTAGTCCGCTACTCGGGTGAATTAGCTTTAAATAAACTTTATGTATTAAACCATTTAAAATTAAGCTGTTTATTATTATAATACACCTTAATGAGTATTTTAACGTATTACTAGTGTTACTAGTGTTAATGAGTATTTTAACGTAACAGTAATGTACTTTAATGTGTAACCTCGCTTGCAGAGGTCCTGAAACTCATATATCGATGGTTTATTACTCATTTTGCCTTTTTGTCCATACTTTAATCCATTTAGTGGGCTGTGATTGCAGTAATATCCAATTCTATTAGAACGTGTTCACTTTCAGCTCTGAAAAAAAGGATTCAGGATTTTATTTCAAGTCGGCAGCAGCGAATCTTCCAGAGGCAACGTGGCTGTGCGCAAGCTTCTTGATTAAGACCAGAAATCAAAGTTTTATCGTATGAAACGTTTCATTAGGAAAGCAATCATACATTCGCTCGTTGTCACAATATTTTTGAGGCTTTTACTGCACGTTTGTAAGTTGCATATGTCAGAGACGTTTCTAACACGTTGATTCTAGAAAGTAACCTCACCCTAAGCTAAGCGCATGTACTTAACTGCAAAAAAACAGTTTGCGAAAGTTTTAGGTTCATGGAAAAGCTAAAAAGCTTTGCTCAAACTAAGTCCGAGCTTAATTTAAGCGAAATTAAGCGCGGTAGCAAGCTAGGCTTTATGTAACTGCGTTTCAAGCGCTAGAGGAATTTAAACTTAGAATAAGCTAACCTTGGGCTTAATTACATGTTTAGGTCTAAGCAAAATATAATTACGGAGATTGGTCGAGAGCAGAGAGCAGAGAGCCGAAACCGTAAGTCTCTGGAAAAGCGAAGCTCAGCCTAATCCTAAGCTTAGCTTTTACTAACGAGCCTAAGCTAAGCCCTAAATTACCCCATTTTGACCTCGTAAGGCAATTTAAAGCTCAGGATAAGCTTGCTTGAGCTTAACCTTAAGCCTAAGCCTCAGCTGGGCAAGGTAAGTTCAAACTAAGTGAAGCCTAGGCTTAAAGGCCTAGGTCCTCGGCGGTAACCGTCCGGGGATAGAAACAGGTTACGGTAGGGGGAAGGGGGCGCGGAAGGGGGAGGGGGGGGAGGGGGGAGGGATAAGAAGGGGTGGGTGGCTGCGGAAGAATCCACGAGATTTTGAAGGGTTTAGTGTATTAACCTAAAACCAAATGGTCCGTAGACCTCGCGCCTTGTAACTTCTTACTATCAATTCCACACTGCCCTTATACTAGAACCAGATGGTTACAGTCGCTTCGCGACTGCAACCATCTGGCCTTCGGGCTACCCTATATGTCCCACTCCACCACATCCTTTCCCACCTCCATCAATACCCCCGATAGCCGAAATGCCGTTCAAAAACTACCTAAATACCTCCCCGATGGCTTCAGATACCCCCCATGGCTGAAATCCCCTTCAAAAACTACCTAAATACCTTTCTGATGGCTTCAGATACTCCCCATGGCTGAAATCCCCTTCAAAAACTACCTAAATACCTCCCCGATGGCTTCAGATACCCCCCATGGCTGAAATCCCCTTCAAAAACTACCTAAATACCTTTCTGATGGCTTCAGATACTCCCCATGGCTGAAATCCCCTTCAAAAACTACCTAAATACCTTTCTGATGGCTTCAGATACTCCCCATGGCTGAAATCCCCTTCAAAAACTACCTAAATACCTTTCTGATGGCTTCAGATACTCCCCATGGCTGAAATCCCCTTCAAAAACTACCTAAATACCTTTCTGATGGCTTCAGATACTCCCCATGGCTGAAATCCCCTTCAAAAACTACCTAAATACCTTTCTGATGGCTTCAGATACCCCCCATGGCTGAAATCCCCTTAAATAAACAAAAATAACGACCGACCGGATGGTATTAGATAAAAAAAGAAATGAAATCCCCCGTGAAAATTTTCATCCACGAAACGCGCGCCAC